TGATTTTTCCACCTACATCCATGATTCCAGTTGTGACAGAAATAGCATAGTAAATGTTAAAATGTGTGTGTGTGGTGGAGGGGGAAGGTGTGAGGGGAAACTCTATCAGGATTTCTCCTCGCAGATGTCATCTATGCCCTGGACATTTCCTAGTCCTTCTCATGTTTCCTGAGATCTTCAATTGGGACCTGCCTCTTCCATCTTCAGTGTCAATACTTCTTCCTTTTCTGCTGAGCTTTCCTTTCTGTTTTAAACTTAATTCAGTTTTCTAGATCCTGACTGAAGCTTCATTCAAACTGGTGGTTCTGAAACTTAGCTTGTGTCAGAATTGCCTGGAGGGCTTGTTAAAACAGAGATTGCTGGGCCACATCCTCACTTTCTGAATCAGTAGGTCTGAGTATAGCCTGAGAATGTGCATTTCTAACAAGTTCTCAGGTGATACGGAGGTTTCTGGGCCTGGGGCCACATTTTGAGAACCACTAAATTAAACCCAACTGCTCCCTCTATCATCCTATTTCTCTCTTTACTTTTCCTAGCTAATTTATTATTTTTAAACATCTTCCTTTTTAAACATTTTTTTTTTCTTTTGAGACAGAGTCTTGCTCTGTTGCCCAGGCTGGAGTGCAGTATCACAATCTTGGCTCACTGCAACGTCCGCCTCCCGGATTCAAGCAATTCTCCTTCCTCAGCCTCCTGAGTAGCTGGGATTACAGGCGCCTGCCACCATGCCCGGCTAATTTTTATAGTTTTAGTAGAGACAGGGTTTCACCATGTTGGCCAAGCTGGTCTTGAATTCCTGACCTCAAGGAATCTGCCCGCTTCAGTCTCCCAAAGTGTTGAGATTACAGGTGTGAGCCACCGTACAAGGCCCCTTTTTAAACATTTTAAAAATCACACAGTAACAATTAATCATTGTATTAAAATTAGCCAAAAGAAACTGGAACTCTCTTTTGCTGGTGGGAATGTAAAATGGTGCAGTTGCTTTAGAGAATGGGCAGTTCCTCAAAAAGTTAAACAATAAAGTTACCGCTTGGCCCAGCAATTTCACTCTTAAATATGTACTGAAGAGAATTAAAAACATAAATCTACACAGAAACTTGTACATGAATGTTCATGGCAGTAATATTCACAATAGCCAAAAAGTTAAAACAACCCAACAATCCATTAGTGGAAGGACTAGTAAACAAAATATGATGCATCCATACAATGGAATATTATTTGGAAATAAAAAGGAATGAAGTACTGATACATGGATGAACTGCTAAACATTATGCTAAGTGAAAGGAGTCAGGCATAAAAGACCACATATTGTGTGATTTGAGTCATATGGAGTGCACAGAAAAGGAAGATCTATAAAGACAGAAAGTAGATTAGTGGTTGCTTGAGGTTGAGAGTGGGAATGGAAAGCAACAACTAAAGGGCATGAGGGGTCTTTTTAAGGGTGATAGAAATGCTCTAAAACTAGATTGTGGTGATGATTATATATCACTGTAAATTTAGTAAAGATCATTGAATTGTACACTTAAAACAGGTAAATTTGTGATGTGTAAAGCTGCTTGCATTTCTTCTCTTAATGCTTCCCCCTTACAGACCACCATGCCATCTATTTTCTATGCCCACAGCTTTACTGAATTTGCTTTCTTGAAGGTCACTTGTAATTCCAAACTGTTAAGGACATTAAGAGTCATCTGCTTATCTTCTACACTGGCAGATTTCTCCTTCTACTACGTTAGCTGCTTGACCCTTCAGTTTCCTTTGTTGATTCTTCTTCCTCATCCTGTCCCCTGGCTGGGTGCTTGACAAGCCTTGAAAGCCTCAAGTTGTATCTTCCACTAACTTCAAATACAACATATCCCAATTCAAACTTAGCAGCATCTTCACCAAACCAGCTCCCCTTCTCAACTGCCCCATATATGCCAATAACTTTCTCCAAGTCACTGGGGCTCAGAGTTGTTTTTTATCTTTTTTTTTTTTTTTTGAGACTGGGTCTTGTTCTGTCACCCAGGATGCAATGCAGTCGTGTGATCACAGCTCACTACCGCCTCGAACTCCTGGGCTCAAGTGATCCTCCCACCTCAGCCTCCTGAGCAGTAGGACTACAGGTGTGCACTATCATGCTTGGCTAAGATATATTTCCTTCTTTCTCCTCAAGTTCTAGTCACCAAGTTTTCTCTACTTTACCCTTAAAAGGTGTCACATATTTGTGAGCAAATAATCTGAACAGATAATTCACATGAGAAGCAATACAGATATTAATATATTAATTAGACACACAAAATATTCAGATATTAATATATTAATTAGACACACAAAATATTCAAACTAGAATGATCAAAGTAAGCAAATTAAAACTATAATAGGTCCCATTAAACTGTATGGCATTAGAAAAAGAAAATTTTCAATGGTGACATAATTTGGAAAACTGGTATTCTCATATATTGCTAATGGCATGTGAAACATCTCGTGGGGAAAACAGATTGGTAAAATCTATGAAGAACCATAAGAATGTTCATATTCTTTGCACTAGTAATCCCAACTCCACATAATTGTTTTTAATGAGATAATTCAAAATGAGAAAAAAAGCTATAGTGACTCAAAATGTTTCTGCTGCATTACTTTATAATAGCAAGAAATTGGAAACAACCTATTTACCCAACAATTTGGGAATGATTAAGCAAATTCGAGCACATTAAGCTGGTGAAATATTATACAGCCACTAAAAATTATGACTTAAGGAAGCCTGCATAGCAACATGAAAAATTGTTTACCAAGTAATGCTTAGAGAGGAAAAAGAAGCAGGGCACACAAAATTACATCTACATGGTTATTATAATCATGCTTAGAAAAATCTCTATACCTACATATAAAGCTGACAGGGAAATGAGAATAACCAGGGTGTTGCGGTGGTAACAGTAAGGTTATTTTTTTCTTCTATTTTTAATTTCCTGTAATATTGTTTTCACAATAAACAAACTCCCCTCCCCCAAATATCACACATATTTATCTATTCCTTCTGCTCCATTTCTATCGCACCTCTACCTCCCCAATCCAGGGCCACATTCTGTCATGCCCAGATCACCTTCCCTAACTGGTCTCTCTTCAACCCACTTAGGCTGCAAACACTGCAAAGTTGCCTAAAGGGCCACATTTATCATGTCACTTACCTGATAGTAACCTTTCATTGCTCCCATGTTTATGATCCTACCTAGGTTTACCTAGGCTGGTCTACCTAGGCTGGTCAAGGCCTGCCTAGGCTGGTCCAGTGCTTCACTACTCACCTTTCTTCTCTGCTGCTGCTGTTCTTCTTCCTCCTCATTACAGATAACATTTCCTGAGAGTTTATGGTGTCAGGTTTTGCTCTAAATGCTTTACATATATATTAATTCATTTAGTCCTCATAACAACAAACATTTGAGATAGATACTCTTATCCCATTTTATAAATAAGGGGGGAAGGGAAAGAGAGAGAGGGAGAGAGGCAGGCAGGTAGGCACTTGCCAAGGTCACATGGTTAGTGAATAGAAGAACCTGGCTTTGAACCCAGGCAGAAGTGACTCCAAGGCCAGAACTTAACTGGTGGGGATTATTCCTCCAACACACCCTTCTTAGTTTCCTCTATGGGCCTTTCCTCCTGCAGCTACCAACCTCCAGCTGTTTTTACCCTCCAATGAACTTAAATAGTGTACAATAATAGTTACCACGTACTGCCCCTTACCAGGTGCCAGGTGCTTCTTAAGCCCTGTATTTGACAGGGTTTCATCTTCTGTCAACTTGTGTGAGAAAGAAAAAGCTGGGCTTAATTCATAGCTTATCCCTTTACTAGCTGTGAGACCTTAAGTAGATTCCTTAGGCTCTCTGACTGTGATCCTTTATCTGAGTTACCAATTCTCAAACTGGATCCCAGGACCAGCTGCATCAGCATCACCCAGATGCTCTTAGAACCTATTAGAGTTACAGGTTTTGAGCTCCACTCCCCCCTTACTGAATCACTCTCAGGGCGCAGGGTGGGTCCAACTGTTTATCTGTGTTTCAATTGCACACTCAAGTTTGAGACCCACCACCCCAGTTATATAATCATACCTACCTGACAGAGTTGTTGGGAAGATAAAGCATAACATAGTACGTATAACTCGGCTTGCAGCACATAGGTTGTTTGGCAAGTGGTAATTTATTATTATTGCCATTTAGCTTTGTGTGGGTTAGTATTCCCTGCTCAAGCTGTGGGCAGGCACTGTGCTTCCTGCTGCTCTTTTGCTCGTATTTCTCACCTTGCCCAGAAAAAGGCAGAACCTATACTAGGTTTTCAATAAAGTCCTCTTATTTCACTGACTAATCAGTGAAAGAACCATTTCAGAGAAACACTGTAATGTAGTATAGTGTCCCTGAAGCTAGACCACCTGGGTCTAGTCAACTGATTAGCTGTGGGACTTTAGGCAAATGAATGTATCTCTGTGTGTCTCAATTTCTTCTCTCTGTCAAACGGAAAGACTAATATTACCAACTCCATAAGGTCATAGTGACAAATACATACTTGTAAAATGATTTGAATGGGGTCTAGAATAGAGCACTATGTTCAAGAAACGTTAGCTAGCATTATTACTTTTGTGTCATTTCACCCATTTAATGGTGGAGGAGGTTCCATTTCTTCATTTGGCAAGCAAATGACAAATACCTCTTGAACAACTTCTCTGTATCAGGCACTGCGCTGGGTACAGAGAATAAAGCTATGACCAAGGTATGGTGTCCTCTCTCAAGGGTCTCAGTCTAATAGAGGAAACTTGCACATTCCAAAATGTCCTAGCAATCAGTTTGGTCTGTACCCACCTATCTAGGAGTGCAGGGGGCGGGGGGACAGGCTGAATTATATCTATGGCATCAAGCCCTTAGTCTAGATACCAGGCCAGTTTCCTCAAAGGAAACTAAGCAAACCAAAGACCTTAGCAATTTCTATAGAAGCTCCAGAGGCACCAACTCACCCCAACTCCCTGAGCGCTCACTTACCTCCCTGACTGGCTGGTCTTCCTGTTTCCTGTTATTGGATTCCACTTGTCCCCAGGAAATTCCTGTAAAGCAAAATCCTGATAAGTTAGAAAGCTTTGAGCAGCCAGGTATCTAGATGACCTAAAAAATGTGAAGAGGTCAGGAGCTGGTGTCTGGCCTAGCCCCCCAGCTTGTTCCTTCTACTCTGCTATGCAGGCTGATAAACGTGTACCTGGAGTGGCTGCCTTTCTGTCGGGAGGCTTGCTAAACTGCCGCAGGCATGCAGAGACTAAGGGAGCACTTAGTGACCCGGACACCGTGGTCTAGAAATGCTGTTTCCCTCTTTCTCCACTCCCCTCCCAAACCACATTAAAAACCAGTTTAGTATGTTTGCTGTTTGCCCTGGCTCTTGCCTGCATGGAGGGATGGAGGTCTTTTTGTTTGTTCTGCTGGGTGAACCTGCTCATTCCTCCTGCCTCTTCCAACATAGAAAGCATCTTCTTGGAAGCCCTGGTACTTGAGGGGGCTTTGAGGGCAGAAGCTCCTGCTGCAGCAACCCTCTCCCCAGGTGAGGCAGAGGGATAGCAGGTATGCCGGCACGCCTCCAACTGCAGTGGCTCCTCCTTCTCTGCCCACATCTGCTGGCAGGGGATGAGGTGGGCCCATCTCTGGGGAATATGAGTGCAGGGTGCCACAGTCCCTACATTACAAGAGTAGACTCTCTACCCTGGGCATTTTTTCCTTAAGGGCCATGTCCAAGCAACTCTTTTTTTTTCTAGACCAAGCCATATGTGCCATTTGTAAAACTGTCCCTGCCTTCCTGTTTTAGCTCCAAACTGAATGCAAATTAGCCTTTCAGATTCTCTCTGACTTTGTATCCAACACTCCGTACCTAGAGACTCAGAGTTTAGCTCAATGGGAATGCACAGTTTTTCCTAAAATTCACCGATCTTCCAAATTCCATCTTTCTCCAATGCTGCTATTATTAGCCCCATTCAAAATGTTATTACCTTTGCCCCAGTAGGTCTCCCTACTGGAAGTAAGACACCTAGTTTCTAAGCAGACCTGCTTAGCTGGTCTAACAAGCATTAGGAACCCAAGGTATCCCTCCCTCAGAGTACAAAAAATAGAGGCATGGTATAAGCACAGCCTCATCTGCATGCATTACTGCTGCCAATTGCTGCAACCTGCAAATCGTACCTCCTTTTCTTATAGAGTTGCTGGTCCTGGGCTGACATCACTGCAGCCGTCATCTCCTCACTTCCCCCACCCCACTCACCCCCAATCTCAGCCAACTTTTTCTACTGTCTATCTGTGAGTCCTTCTTCCAGCAAAAGTCTCTCAAGCTAAGCCAAAATGTCCCTTTAAGGGATGATAACTCACTTATAAGATGATTACAATCTGGCAGTCACTGCTGTGAGTCTTACACGTGTTACATCACTTAATCCCCAGAACCAACTTATGAAGTAGGTGTTGTTACTACCCCCATGCTTTTAGATGGGAAAGCTTAGGCATTGTAAGTTCGGGGGAAGAAATTCAAAACCAGGCAGTCTGGTGCCCTTAAAACCATTATTTTATATTTCCTCTCCTCTTTTTTTCAACATTATGAATATATTCAGACATAAAAAATGTTGAAAGAAGTTCACAGTGATCACCCATATACCCAGCACCTACATTCCACAATTAACATTTTGATATATTTGCCTTATCATATATCTATTTACCCCTCTATCCATCTACCAATCCATCTTAAATTCTTGGTGCATTTTAAAGTAAGTTGAAAACAACTATATCCTCATAAATTTTAAAATGTAAATGAAATGGACAAATTTCTTGAAAGACACAAACTACTAAAGCTTACTCAAGAAGAAATAGATGACCTAAATGTCCCCATATCTAATAAAGAAATTGAATTTGTAGTTAAAAAGCTTTCTACCAAAAAACTTCCAGGCCCAGATGGCTTCAATGATGAATTCAAGCAAACCTTTAAGGAAGACATTTTTATACAAACTCCTCCTGAATAAAAGAGAAGGGAATACATCCCAACTCATTTTTTAAGGCTAGCATTACCTTGATACAAACAAACAAACAAACAAACAAACAAAAAAACAGAAAAAGATGTTATAATAAAACCATAGACTAAAATCCTTGATAAACGTAAAGGCAAAATCCTCAACAAAATATTAGCAAATCTAGTAACATATAAAAGGATAACACATCATGACCAAGTGGGATTTATCCTGGCAATGCTAGGCTTCTATTTATTTTAAAAATCAATCAGTGTCATTCCCCATATCAGTAGACTAAAAGAGAAAAACTATATGATCATCTCAACAGATACAGAAAAAGCATTTGAAAAAAATACAACATCCACTTCTGATGAAAATGCTCAGCAAATTAAGAATAAAAGAGATGTTCCTCAATTAAAGGGCACCTACACAAAAATCCTACAGCTAACATCAAACTTTATAGTGAAAGATTAAGAAAAAAGCAACAACGTCCACTCTTACCATTTCCTCCAAACATTGTATTGAAGGTGAGACAGTGCAATAAGGCTCTTCTCTCTCCCAGAAAAGGGCATGTACAGGAGAAAGGAAGATACAAAATTCTTTTTGCAGATGGCATGATTGTGTATGTAGAAAATGTTTTATAATCCACCAAAAAGCTATTAGAACTAATAAGTGAGCTTGGCAAGGTTGCAGGATACAATGTCAATATACAAAATTCAATTATATTTCTATACAGTGGTAATCAAGAATTTCAACTTGACATTAAGAAAATAATACTCTTTATAATGTCATCTAAAAACATAAAATCTAAGGGACAAATATCCCTGGTGGTTGAGTGGCTAGGATTCGGTGCTTTCATAAAATCTCAGGGTCAAATATAACAAAATATGTACAAGATCTGTATGCTGAAAACATAAAATAAGTTGAATACAGCAGCAGTATACTTCAAAAACACTTCAGCATACATATTAAATAAAGTTTGATATTTGTTTACAACATTTTTAGGCAAAATTTACTTCCAGTGAAATGCACAAATACTCAGTGCATTGGCTGCCTAGGAGCCTTGCTATACATTTGTTGAGTTCTAACAGGTACATATGTTTAACTCAAACTCTTACCAAGATACAGAACATTGTCACCACCCCACAAGTTCCCTCATGCCCTTTTCCAGTCAATCTTTGCGCCACCTCCCATTGGCAAGCAGTGTTCGGATTTTTTTCCCCCCATAGAATAGCTGTTTTAGAATTTCATGTAAAAGGAATTGTAGAGTTCATAGTCTTTTGTGTAAGGCTCTTTTCACTCTTGAAGTTCCTTTTAACCGAGGATATATACTGAGCAAATTCAGATACTAAGTCATTTCAAAAGTGTCTGTGTATGCAACAGCTGAACACAGGAATTAACTTCTGGTTTGAATGCACCGGCCAAAAGATGGCATCAGGGATGCCATGGGGAAGTAATTTGGCAGTGAGTGGGCAAGGACCTAGGGAGTCCTCCCAGAAGTAGCCTGGAGGATGGTGGTGGCTTGTGTTATGGTGATAGGTCATAACCGGGATATCAGAGCAGGCAGTTTAGACCTGGGTCTCCAACAGAGACAGGATGGAGAAAGGGGAAAGGATTTGTCTTTTTAAAAACCCAACTAGTCAGATCTCTGAAAGCAAAGCCTGGGGATATTTGCAAATTTTGCATCTCTAAATACTTCTGAAGCAGAAAATGGGAGGCAATAAGTGATATTTGTATCATGCACTGGGCCTAGAACTCCATAAACACAATCTCATTTGACTCTCACAACTGATCCATGAGGCAGCCATGGTATTCCTCTATTTTAGAGATGAGGTAGTGAGACTCTTCTTAATACTGGCTATTTTATGAGGGAAAATTATTTTTTCCCTTTAGAATCACATACTTCAAATTTGTGTGGTTGAATGACTTGCTTTGGGTCACTCAGATATCAATTTTATAGTCAGGATATAAATCTTGGTTGTGTCCATTTTATGAAGCAAAAGTTACTTTTATCTAACTCTAAAGATGAGACAACTGCAATTTTGGTGGCTGAGTATCTTGTTCATGGTTACTAAGCTAACAACTACTGGAGCCAGTGCTGTACAGTTTCAAGGAATTATACTTGTTATATTTTTAAATGATTTATCTAGCTTTCTCCTCGCAAAGAGAATGATGAAAATTACCCACCCAAGAACCAAGTCCTCACCTGCACTGTCGGCTTCCTGGGTTTCCAAGTGTTGCCAGGTGCCAAGCTGCTGTCCTCGAGGGTACTGTGCTGAGGATTATGATAGCAAACTGAACACCGAATGCACTGGTGGTGGTGGCACCGGCAGTTGTAGCAATTTGGCATCATATTTCTCTTTAGCAAGGCAGGGCAGATTTCCCCGGAACAATAAATGCAAGGATCATGGACTAGAGCTCCCTGAACGCTGCAGGAGTAAGAGCAGGTCCTGTGGTAATCAAAATCACCACAGTGTAGTGGCTTACAACACATGGAATTTTCTAGACCTCTGCTTGCAAAACATTCTGAGTAAGTGGGAGTTTCTGACTGAAGGGGTGACATGGAATGATATGATTGGTCTGTGGCATGATATGGTTGGTCTGCGGAGTGATATGATTGGTCCATGGGATGGCGCCTCAATTCCCTATAGTTGGAGCTCACTGGCTGGAAGTTTTGGTCTATAGGTTTTGGTCTCTGGGTAAAAGTCTTGTTGCTATGAGTGGTTAAACCTGGCAAATGAGATGTAGATAAGGATTTGCTACTCTCTTCAAAGAACTTTCTTCTGTCTGCGAAAGGCAAGAGGATGGCATCCTCCCCAGCTTGAGCAGTAGAAGCCTTCAATTCCTTGTTGTCACCTGGGTTGGAAGGGCCTTCCATGGCTACTGCCACAAGTGGCTGTGAATTATGCTCTCGAGACCATTTCCAATGACCTCCATGGACTCCACAGTGAGCATGTGCTTTCTCAGGGTCTGAGGAGGATGGGTCGGGTGCTTTCCACCAGGTGTTCAGGACCAAAGAGGACTGGCCAAGCCTCTGGCCAGGGCTTATTCGTCCCTCTAAGCCTGTCCTAGATTCATGGCTCTCAGGGGCTTGGCTGAGGCACTCAGAAGACCTAGCTCTGAGCATCATGCTTTTGTTGAAGAGCTTGTCTCTGGGGCTAGGAGGTTTTTTACATGAAGATAGAAGAGATGTGTTAGAGGCAGTGAGTGGAGGACTTTCTGGGGGCTCCTGGGTCTCTTCCACTGGCTCCTTAGTGTCACACAGCTGTGACAAGGGACCCTTGCTTTTCTGGAGCTGGGCCTTCCTCCTCTGAATTTCATTACGCAGATTGGTAGCAAAACGCTCACTCTTCCGCCGGTTTTGGATTGAGCGGCCCCGGGTCCCTCCACTTCGCCTACCACCCATCCGGCTGCACTCCTTGTGTTCACTGTCTCCTTCTTCACCTGCCTCTGTGCCACCAGCTACTTTAGTGGTTGAAGAACAGTCTCTGGCTTTTTGAACAAGGGAGCCAGAGGCAGAGGGTTGCTGGTTGGCCAATTCATTGCCTGCTCTGCTTGTTCTGTTTGGGTCCAGTAAACCTTTTTCTGAGGGGTGTCCATCAGCCTCTCCATGTGGGGGACTGCTTTGGCTCTGGTGTCCCAAAACCAAAGACCTGTCATCCATTTGTCTGGTCTTTCTTTCTTTGCTGGACTGGTCTTGGGTTCCTCCTGCAGGGGGACATGGACTTTTCTTCCCTTTGTGGCTGCTGTGCAAAGGGGACAGAGTCCACTGGTGCCCATCCTGTCCGGGTGGAAGCTCCATCCCTTTGCTGCCCCTGGTATCAAGGTGCACGTGCTGCAGGTGGGATGCCAGCAGCTGTTCAGGGGCACTATGGCGATGCCCTGTGGGTCCTATGAGATGTGGAGGTCTGCCAAAAGAAGCCTTAGCTAGCTCTGTGGAAGCCTCATTGAGTGGGTTGGAATCCGTGCTGGAAGCTTTGTCACAGGCTTTTGGGGATCCAACAGCTTTGGTTGAGGCCTGCATCAGTAGATGCTCAGAGCCCTGCTGGCTGGATTCAGGAGGCTGACTGAACTCACAGTTCTGATGGCCCTCACTTGTCACTTGGTCATGCCCACTGAGGCAACAGAACCTATTAGGGTTCCCTGCGGGTAGCACAGTCTCTAAGCTCAGTTTCTCCTTCTGTGGCAAGGGGACCACAGGCTCAGATGCCCTGCGCTGCTCTCCATTGAGGAGTTGGGCTCTGGAGGCCTGAAGGCTGTCCCGCCTCACTGGAGGTTGTGGTGGGCCCCTGACTGCCTTGGCAGGCCCTGACTGGTGTCCCTCCTGTGGACGGGATGACATCTGAGAGCTGGGGGTCAGGTGGCCACCACTGGTGCGCCGACTACCTCCTGAGGTCTCAGCCACATTAGGCCGGCCATTGGGGGCCTTAGTTGGCCCTGGGCCTTGCATGATGCAGTCTGTAGAGGCTGCCTCCTCTGGCCTGAGGGAAAGGGCACAGTCAGAAGCATTTGAGCTGGCCGAGAAGGAGCTGTAGGCAGAGTCACGCTGGTTAGGGTACATGTTCTGGTCAATAGGCAACAGATGGCTCTCATAGGTGGCTTGGCCTGGTTGCTCCAGGCTCTCCATGCTGCCAATGGAGCTGCTTTTCTCGGTGCTGCAATGCCGGGAGAGTGGACACCACTGCACACACACGTCACTGTAAGACACAGGGCATACTGGTTAGTTAGCGAAGTCACCAGATCACTTTCCCTTCATGGCCAGCCCTACCATAGGAGAGGGCAGGCCAGCCCAGAGGTACCCATGCCACAAATGAGAGGAGGGTAGGCCAAAAAAAGGGAAGAAAGGGGAACAGGGAAGAAGATGGACATTGGGGTGCCTCAGGGGCTTAGTAAAATGGGACACAAGATGATATATGGAAAAAAGATGGGCAAACACCCCAAAGACTAAAAATGGGAGAACTCTATGGGGGTTATCCTCTATTTCTTTGACATTACCAAGTCTGAAATTGCTTCTAGGCTGTCCCTGTCCCTAGGGAGTCAGCATGTGGCTCCCTGCCAAAAGAGACAATCACAGAATATCAGCATTCGAGAGGTGCCCTAAAGGGCTGATTCAATTGTAGCCAGACCATTTTGTAAATAAATCAGCGATTCTCAAACTTGGGCATGTGCATTAGAATCACATGGAGGGCTTGTTAAAACACGGGTCACTAGTCCTCATCCTAGAGCTTTAGGTCTCGGTGAATCCTGAGAATTTGTACTTCCAACAACTTCCCAGGTGCTGCTGGTGCCGCTTGCTCATCCAGCAATCACACTTTTGAGAACCACTGGTGTAAAGCAAGCCCAGCAAAGGGAAGTGATTTTGAGGTGGTGATTTACTCAAGAACACCCAGCTCTAACTACTGGCACAGACAGGGCTGTAATTCAGGTGTTCCCCTATTCTTTTCTTGATAATAGCAATCCTGACTATTTACTGAGGACCTACAATGTGCCGGACACTTTACAAAGTTTCATTCCAAGCTGAAGAGGACAGATCTTTTTTTTTTTTTTTTCTTTTCCAACCTTTATTTTAGATTCTGGGGGTACACGTACAGGTTTGTTACAAAGGTATATCACATGATGCTGAGGTGTGGAGTACAATTGAACTCATCACCTGGGAAGTGAGCAGAGTATCCAATAGGTAGTTTTTCCGACCCTTGTCCCACTTCCTTTCTCCCAGCTTTTGTATTCCCCAGTGTCTATTGTTCCCATCTTTATGGGACAGATTATTATCTACACTTTACAATGGAAGAAACTTAAGCTTAGAGAGGTAAAGTAAACTGACAAACACTACGCTGCTAAAGAAGCACAGCTGGAATTTGAATCAGGCCTGAGTCCAGTGTCTTAGCACTACTGCCATATGGCCTTTTAAATAGGAATAATAGTAATAGCTATATCAGAGGGTTGATGTGTAGATGAAAGCAGATAGTAAATGTAAAGTCCTTACCACAGCCCAGGTACCTACCAAGGGTTCAATACATAGCAGCTGCTACTCTCTTGATTATTAGCTTTTGTCATCAGGATCCTCTCTAATACTAGTATTGATAGTATAGGGACCTCTGCCCACCCACGCCTCCCCCAACTCCCACAGCAAAGCCAAACCTGGAAGACCAAGGGAATGGCTAGGATCAGATGCAATCTTCAATTTTAAGTACCATTTCCCACACACAAAGCCAAACTGAGCCAAGTCATGCCAGTAACTCCCTTTGACTAGAACCCCAGAGGTTGCAGGCTGCTCTCAGAAAGGCCATAGTCTAGAAAGCCAGAGTTGAACTGTGGCAGCAGCCCATGAGACCCTCAGGTCAGCTTCTGCTCATTCTTGCTCCCTGCCTTGCCCCGTAGCCAGTCGGCTCACTTGTTCTCTGGGCAAAGAATCCATCAATTTCTTGTTGGCAAGGGAACCTGCTACCCACTCCACCACTATTCTTGCTGAAAAAAACAAAAACAAAAACAAATCCTCACTCAAACAGGAGACAAGCTCAAGAATGTCAAAGTGTATTTCTGCATATTCTTCCACAACAAAACTGCCTCTGCCCTGAGCCCTTGGTTTCCAAATAAAGTCACCAAATTGGGGTAAACTCAACCCTTAGTTTCTCTGAACCTCCAACAGAAATCTCTTCTTGGAGGGAAGATCTTGTGGAAGGGAAAAGGCAGTGAAGGGCAGCACCTTTGCTGGCTCTCAGCCTAAAGAAAACGTTGTCTGCCTCTTGGGCAACTGTTTCAAAAATGGTTATTCAGGGAGTTCCCTATTTTGAAGACTTTGGCTATGTGACAGAGGTAATAAAGACCAGATAAGGGCACCAGTGAGTCACCATTGATAGAGAAGAGGCCAGAACTGAGCCCCGGGGTCCTCCTATATTAAGAGACAGGAGAATGAAAGGAATTAAGAAAAGAGATACGGAGAAAGAACAGCTAGTGAATTAGGATGAAAAGCAGGACAGTGTGGTGTCTTGTAAGCCCAATGAGGTATTTCAAGGAAACATTGTCCAGAAGGAAAGGGACTAGCCCAAAATCACAGCGAGTTAGCAAGAGACTGGGACTTGAACTCAGGTACTCTGGACTCCCACTTGTTTTTCCGTTATAGTACTTGAGGCTCTAACATCCAACAGGGACTACAGCAGAGGAGGAGGAGTGTCCAAGTTGTCTACCCTCCAGCCTGTCTTGAGGGGAGGGCTCTAGACTCACCTTGTGTTGCAGCCAGAATGCCAGGACAAGCTGAAGGCTTCGGAAGGGAAATGCATGGTGGTGGCTGCTTCAGGGCATCCCTCCAGCAGCTTGGCCACATGCCATGAGTGCGGCCTACTGACAGGGGCGTTCCTCCTACAGCAAGAAAGGGACAGGAAGTGGGCTTAAGGAACCAGAGCTGAAATCACTTCCCAGGCAGCTTCCGCCCCACCCCCTCTTTTCCTTCAGTAAAGTAGAACATCTTGCAAGGAACTGGTGTGGGAATCTTAGTGGCTCTCCTGAGCTCCTTCTTCTCAAATCTTCTTCATTCTAGAGATATGGAATGTCAGCTTAATAGGGCTGCTTTGTTCACAAGAGTATCCTGAGCATGTATCACAGTGCTGGACACATAGTAGGTGTTCAATAAATATTTGTGGAATAAATGAGTGCTGCTGCCCAATGAACAGTGAGCACATCCTCACTTCTCTTTGAGAAAGAAAATCAATCTGGTCAATCTTCCCATTTTTTCTCTGAGAAAGGAATGGGCAAGTGATTGAAAAGTTTGAACAGGTCAAAACTGGGTTGTCAATTCTCCAATTTTTAGCCATTCATTGAATAAACATTTGTTGTATGTTTACTGTGTGTCCTCTATGGGTAACTCTGGGATTACAGAGATGAATCCAATACAGTCTTTGCCCTCGAGAGTTTACAGATTAATGGGAGAGACAGAGCTGGTTCAAACAAAGCATGGGATAGGTATTGACAGAGTGAAAGATAAGATGGGTACAGAGGTGAGACACCTGAGTTGGTGGGCAAAGTGGTGGCAGGAAGCCCCAACTCCTGTGAGGGAAGATAGAACAAAGTGGCAAATGGCACCATGTTAGGCTGACAGAGGAGACTGACTGCTCAGCAGGTCAGGAGTATATAAAGAGAAATAGGTCTAATGCCACGGCCCTGAATGCAGCCACAACTTTTGCACTGACTGCCACATACAGGACCCATCCCTGTCCCCTGGCGTACTTTGCATGAGCAGTTGCCACCCTTGCAAGTGGGGAAGAGTTCTGTGGTGGAGTACATGTGGGGCATGGATAATGCCAGGAGATAAAAAGGTGATTGATGGGAGGGAGAATGACAGAAGGAGGGAGAGTAGAGAGAGAATGGAGAGAGATGGTGGAAGGGCCAGGCAAATGATAGAGATAAGAGGGAAAGATGACAGAGGGGAAAATAAATGACAGAAAAAGAGAAAACTCTGAGAAAGATTGTAGAGAAATACATAGTAGAGAGAAATGGATGAGAGAGAAAGAGATGAATGGCAGAGTACAAGAAACATGATAAATAAGTAGATGATACAGAAGTAAATAGATAAATTATTTTTTCATTGATTTATTCATATTTACTGTGCCAGGGTCCAGACTAGGCACTGGTAGTACAGGGTTGAATAGGATAAGGGCCCCTGCCTTCAACAAGCTTGCTATATCGTGAGATAAAGCAGCTCTCCATCTCCCAGGAGCATTCATGATCACATTCAAGCTGGAAGATTCCATCCTACCTGGAAATGCCCTTCACCCCAGCAGAAGCACAGAAGATCTCAGTAGTACAAGGCTCTAGAGGGCTAAGGCCTAAAAGGATAGTCCTCGGAAGAATGGCCTTGCTGGGGAAAACAAGGATTGAGTGGTAATAGGCCAGACATAGACCAGGAAGTATAGGAGGAAGGACAGGGGAAGCTGTTTGTCAAAGGCCAGGAAGCAGAGCCACAGGTCAGCAACAGTGGCTAAGATTTAAGCGGAGGAAAGCCAGGTGAAGCCCCTAGCTTTGTAATCACATTGTTCTACTATTGATTTCAGAGTGCCCAGAGGGGAGGCTGAAGGCACAAGGAGACCTTGGGGGCTATGCTTGCTCTGGAGTCCTACACACAAAGCCACACTGCCAGGAAATCTCTCCAGCTGCTCCTACCAGGTAGTTATCTGGTCAACAACTATTTATCAAGCATCTACCAGTAGTAGTACTATGTACCATGGGTATCTACTATGTCCTGCGTTTTTAGGCACTGATGATATAGTGGAAAACAGGATATCTTTCCTATTTCAAGCCTTTTTCCATATTTAGGATTCTTGAGTTCTGAGTTTAAAGTGCGGGCAGTCAGCCTTGGTGCCACCTTCTCCCTAACCATCCAATCCCACACTGAATTCCATTGAGTCTTTTGTTATGATGTTTCTCTGGCCCTGGTTTGCGCTCTCTCTCTCTCTCTCTCTCTCTCTCTCTCTCCCCCTCCCCTGCCCCCCACGTCCATTTTCACTGTTGCCATTAGACAGAACCACAGCTCTTCTCCCAGAACCCACCACCAGCAGCTCCTGTTCTAGTCCAGGCCCTTTATGCCCCAAATACTGCAGGAGTCTGCCAGCCTATCTCCGTTGTTCTACCTCCAGTCACCACTTTTAGGTCATATCACGTTAAACACCAACTGAATTGGGGTACTTTCCTATTCAAGAATCTTCACTGGCTCCCTATTTCTTACTCTGTCCCACATCAAACGTAAACTAGATCAGAGTTTCAAAGTCTTCAATAAGGTACCTTTACCCATCAGCTCAATCTCTCATGTCTCTGCTCCAATCACACCCTGCAACCAGCTCTGTCCCTTTCTGATTCTGTGCCTTTGCTGTTGATATTCCTGTCGATCTAACGCAGGCTCTGGGGCCAGACCACCTTTGTTTGAATCCCAGCTCTGCCACTCATTAGCTCTGTTGCTTTAGATGGTGACTTCACTTCTCAGAGCCCTAATTTTCATGGCAGTAAAATGGGGACAACAGTACCAAATGGGGTTGTTGAAAGATCAAATGAGACAATGCAAGTGCTTTGAATCAGGCCTGGCAAGGCCTCGACCAATCATAGTTATGACTATGACTGTTCCCTCTGCCAGGAATGCCCCCTTTCCTTTTGTTAACCTAAAACCTACCTGTTCTTCAAGGTACTGCTCAAGTACCATCTCCTCCAGGAAGCTTGCTCTGGGTAATCTAGCCCTCACATTGGGTCTATAATAATATGATAGCTGATATTGCCCATCATCATTTCATGCGTGTCAGTCTCATCTCACTAACCATGCCAAGCCAGTAGGCAATGAGTGAAAAATGAGTGAGACAGATGTAGGTTCAAATCCCCTCTGTCACTTTAGATGTGTGTATCTGTAAGTCGCTTAACCCATCTGAACTTTAGTTTTCTTATCTGAGAAAGGAAACAATTCCTATCTGGCTAGGTGACTGTGGGGATAAGAGATAGTATTCTGAAAGCATCTGGGACACAACCTGATGCACAGCCAGTGGTCAGTAAATAGCAGCTACTATAATAACGGTTATTAGCTCAGACTTGTACTTTTTGATGGTTCAAGAGTACCCACACCTAGGGTACCATCCACTTGCCACACTGTGAAACATACCTTACAAAGACTGTTACTCTTTTTTTTTTTTTTTTTTTTTTTTTGACGAGTCTCATTCTTGTCGCCAAGCCTGGAGTGCAATGGGGCATTCTTGGCTCACTCTCCACCTCCCTGGTTCAAGCAATTCTCCTGCCTCAGCCTCCTGAGTAGCTAGGATTACAGGCATGCGCCACCGTGCCCAGCTAATTTTGTGTTTTTAGTAGAGACAGGGTTTCACCAGGTTGGCCAGGTTCGTCTCGAACTCCTGACCTCACGTGATCCACCCACTTCAGCCTCCCAAAGTGCTGGGATTACAGGCATGAGCCGCCATGCCTGGTTGACCCCTTACTCTTTCTAGGGTTTCTCCAGGAGTAGGAAATAATCCCAAAGTAGACAGAAGCGGGAAGTGGGGGCTTTTGGGGCACAGAGAAAACTAAAGGCTAGAAGAACAAAAATCCAAACAGAGGGAGCTGGAGCCAGACCTACAGCCTTCTAACCCTAGTTTGGGACAGGAGAATAAACTGTCTATATGTTCTACTATTTGGCCTATTGTTAGTCCTGAATAGCCCTAGACTTGAAGTCAGTGCACACTTGCATTCAAATTGTAGTTGTGTTGCCACGGGCAAGTCACTTCTGTGAGTTGAAGATTTTTTATCTGCAAAATGGGGAAGATCACCATCTGTTTTTCATGAGTTATGTTTTGGATTAAATGCAGTCCCATGTGTGAAATCAATCAGCATAGTGCCTGACATACGGTATAAACTTAAAGAAAACACACAGCAAGGACCACTTATTGAACACTTAAGATGTGCCAGGCACTAAGCACTTCACATGCATTAACTGATTTAATCATCTCTCTAACCTTATGTGAAACAGTTATTATTATTGTTATTATTATTAAGACAGGGCCTCTCTGGCTCTGTTGCCCAGGGTGGAGTGCAATGGCACAATCATAGCTCACTGCAACCTCAAACTCCTGGGCATAAGTTATCCTTCTGTCTCAGCCTCCTGAGTAGCTAGGACCACAGGCTACAGGTACATGCTGCTGTGTCTGGCTAATTTTTTTTGTATTTTTTTGTAGAGATGGGGTTTTCACCATGTTGGCCAGGCTGGTCTTGAACTCCTGGCCTCAAGCAATCTTCCTGCCTGAGCCTCCCAAAGTGCTGGGATTACAGGCATGAGCCACCATGTCCAGCGGGTAAAAGTTATTATTATCCCCACTTTACAAATGGAGAACAAGAGACGCATAAAGCTTAAGTGATTTGCCAAGAGCACATAGCTAATAACCAGCAGAATTGGGAATGAAACTCAGATCCTCCAGTTTCTTCCTAGGAGACCACACGACCCCTCCTCTCCAAGGAAGAGTCTGTCTGAAAAAGCCTGTATTCCTGAGGTTTCCCATAGCAATTCCCTCAAGAAGCACTCAGAAAAGGGAGGTCTCATTAGTCCTAGAGCTGAAACCATTCCTTCCATAGGCAGTGGAGAGGGAGAGGAGGAGAAACAAACAGAAAAGTAAGAAAATGCCTATGACCAACCATGCAGCTCTAGGCCAAGATGTGAAGGCAATGACCCCAGTGCTTGCCCTTTCTCCTAAGGCTGGCTCAGGCACTATCAATAAGCACACACCTCATCCCATCCTTCATTACTCCAAAATGCTTTTCTTAGGAAGAAAAAGAAAGAAATATTGAAGGAAGAAAGCAAGAGGGGGGAAGAGTGGCAGCAGCCATGGCTACTGGCTGTACCTACC